GCATTCCGTGGATTATTCCTATCCGAATTGTGGCAATGTTTCGCGATACAATGAGGCATATTTCTATAGAATTGAGAGAGTAACTAGAGTAAACAACATGAACATCAATTTGTCCTCGACACCAAATGCATAGTTTACGTCACTTCCGGTAAAATGGCGCCGCCCACAGGGTTGATGTTATTTCGGTAATTAATCCGTTTAAAATCACTGATAACGTCATCGGATTAAAAAAAAAAAAAGAAAAGACTGGCAGAGACTGTTCAGTTTTATCGGATGATAATTATTTAAAAATGCGTGTCATGAGCATTCCCTCCCTTTAATGTCAACCATTTGTGCAGATAGCATGAAGTAGAAAAGATCGGCGATCGCGGATGCTAGCGTTAGCATTTCTCCCCGGGCTTAAATTGTGTATTATAGAATGATCACACCGGTGACGGTACTCTTCAAAGGGTTCACGAAATATGACTACTACTCTTACTGTTTAACATTTTGGGTTACTTAATGTTACTTCATATTAAGGCTAATAAAAATGACAAGGCTGTAATGCTAACTAACGTGCTAGCTACTAGCTAGGTAGCTAACTTGATCCTGCCACTCCTGGGTTGCGTTCCGATAATCCAAAAATCAGCTCCTACGTTCTAACCCTATCTCCTATTCGTTGACCTCTGAGTGAAACGTCACGGGGTTAAGGGATAGTGGATAGGAGAATGTAAAAGGACTTAGGAGAAGAGACTGCAGAGTTGCATTCCAATAGTCCATCTAGCTTAGGAACCTTCCTAACGGAGTGAAATGACCCGGAAGTACGTCACTGGCAGCCATGATAAGTGCCGTTCCAATTCTCCAAATGAAAGGAAAGGAGGTTTCAAACTTCCTTTATAACCTCCTTTCGCTTAGTAACCACTGGACCTCCCTAAACGAAAGGAGAGGAGAAAATGCTGCCCCACAATGCATTGCAGCCACAGCATTTGCCGTCACTCAACAGTCGGCCGTTCACGGAAACAACCGATTATGACCGAGAAATGATATCATGAAAGTTACGGTGCTTATTAAGCATTTTAAAACGTATGTGGTAAGTTGCCAAAGTGCTTTGTTTTGAACATTCATCAGTATTATAATCAAAAAGAGAAATATGAACGTTAGTTTTTACTAAAATGATCAAATAAAGTCAACATTTCACAGTCTTTACTGAGCTGTGTGGAGTTTGTTCAACTTTTAAAAGATGTTTGAATGGTGATATACACAGTGATAGATGTTAAGGACTCACGTTTATAATAAATACATTTGTATTGATTTTAAGATATTTTCATAGTTCATTCAATCATACGTATTGGGATCATTTGTATTAATGTGGACCGGAGGGAGAGGGTGACGAGCATAAGTTTCACTTTCCTTTTTTATTTCAATTCCAACTTTGGTCATGAAGAATATGTTTCTCTGTTGTCCACGTTCATAAAGCATAAAACAACAGCATCAGAGCACGGTGCAGAGTCTCTAGATGAGTTTACTGTAGTCCCTCGTTCTTATTAAACATCCATGTTGTAGTCCGCTGTATAGAAAACTGTAGTTTCCATAGTTTCCCCACAGCAGCAGACGCACACAATGACGTCCGCTGGCGCATCATAAAGACGTCGGATAGTGAAAGTGCATTCGGATTCTCTAAAGTACCGCAGTCTCTTCTCCTAAGTCCTTTTGAATTCTCCTATCCACTATCCCTTAACCTCGTGACGTTTCACTCAGAGGTCAAGGAATAGGAGATAGGGTTAGAATTTAGGAGCTGATTTTTGGATTATCGGAATGCAACCCGGTACTTTAGAGAATCCGAATGCACTTTCACTATCCGACGTGTTTATGATGCGCCAGCGGACGTCATGAATGTGCGTCTGCTGTTGTGGGGAAACTATGGAAACTACAGTTTTCTATACAGCGGACTACAACATGGATGTTTAATAAGAACGAGGGACTACTGTAAACTCATCTAGAGACTCTGCACCGTGCTCTGATGCTGTTGCTTTATGCTTTATGAACGTGGACAACAGAGAAACATATTCTTCATGACCAAAGTTGGAATTGAAATAAAAAAGGAAAGTGAAACTTATGCTCGTCACCCTCTCCCTCCGGTCCACATTAATACAAATGATCCCAATACGTATGATTGTATGAACTATGAAAAGATCTTAAAATCAATACAAATGTATTTATTATAAACGTTAGTCCTTAACATCTATCACTGTGTATATCACCATTCAAACATCTTCTAAAAGTTGAACAAACCCCACACAGCTCAGTAAAGACTGTGAAATGTTGACTTTATTTGATCATTTCAGTAAAAACTAATGTTCATATTTATATGATATAATTTCTCGGTCATAATCGGTTGTTTCCGTGAACGGCCGACTGTTGAGTGACGGCAAATGCTGCGGCTGCAATGCATTGTGGGGCAGCATTTTCTCCTCTCCTTTCGTCAAGGGAGGTCCAGTGGTTCCTAAGCTAAAGGAGGTTAAAAGGAAGTTTGAAACCTCCTTTCCTTTCATTTAGAGAATTGGAACGGCACTTATCATGGCTGCCACTGAGGGACTTCCGGGTCATTTCATTTGGTTAGGAAGGTTCCTAAGCTAAATGGACTATTGGAACGCAACCCTGGTCCTTTCATCAGATGGGAAGCGAAAGAACGAGCAAGACCCATTGCTGGTATGATAACAACCTGGTACTAAGCACACAGGCATCTTGTTAAAGTTATCTGATCTTAGCCAGTGCCATATAGATAGATTATATCTATATGGCGCTGATCTTAGCTATCTCTTAGTGGAGGAAAACAATTGTGACATCACTTACGCGACTCTGAGATTTGTAGTCTTTCTAGTTGCATATTTTTCATAGTCTTATATTTCAACAGTTTTACAACAAACTGTGACTTTTTTGACATGGAAATTATTTTTTAAAATTGACAAACATCATTTTTTCTTCATCATGGCACAATTCAAACGGGATTGAAAGATACGTTTTCTCTCCCCATAGAGTGGCGAAGTCACGCCCATCTACTTCCGCCCCATGGGACCTTATTTCTGAAAAATGATGTATTGAAGTCAATGGCTCGTGAGTAGCTTGTTTTACGTGCTAGAATATTGACCCAAATCTGACTCCATAGAAAGCGGAAAAAAAAAGGTCTGAAAGCGAAAAACGATCTGAAGGGGAAAAGCAATGTGAAACCTAAAAAAACAAAATCTGCAACTGAAAAAAATAAGGATTCAAATATCAAAATATGTATAAAAGTGAAATCTGAAAATAAATATTTTATTCAAAAATATTGCTGAACTGAATCAAAATAATATTCAACCTGAAAAATGATTTCAAATACTTATTTTTATTTTGAATACATCATTGTATTTTAAAAGTTCAGGATAAAAACTTGAACTTTCAAATAAATTGTATTTTTTTTTTTTTAATGATCAAAACTTATGACCCTGAAATAGCTCCATAACGTGACGGCCATCTTGGTATTGGTGACGTATGCAAGACCAGAGTTGTAGTTCATTGAGCGCTTCACACAAACAAATGTGTTACTTCACAGTTTTACGACACGTTTAAAAAACTGTGACTTGCAAAATTATCTTTTAAATTGACAAACATCATATGTGTAATTCGTTGCACAATTCAAACGGAATCAAAAGATAATCTTTCTCTCTCTATTGACTTCAATACATTATTTTTACGAAATAAGGTCCCATGGACCGGAAGTAGATGGGCGTGACTTCGCCACTCTATACTCTGCATACACATTTCATTTCCGTTATCCATGTGCATACACTTCTTTTGTCTCTTCGACTCAGAAATCAGTTAGGTCCTTTTACAAAAATCTTGCATGTGATCTTCCCTGCCCTCTTTATCATTGCTAATCATCCTCCTGTAGGCAAAAGAGAAGGTTTTAGTTTGGCACTCACAACACATCCAGGGAATGCATCCTACGGTTTCCTTTTATATTGTAACACTGTGAAAAACAAATCTTAGTTTAAGTCGGCAGGAGAGCTAGTTAACTTTAGCTGTGAGCAGTCGGTGTAGCAAGGTTCCTCTAAGTTGCACTATGATGTGTTCATGCTCTGTTTAGTAAAAACCTACATGGGCTAAGGTTAATTATAACCTTTCCATGATGTGCTCAATTATATTATAGTGAAAAATAATTGTTGGCAAGAAACAAATAAAAACAAGTTATTATTGCAATATAAAAGAGATATAAGACTGGGAATTATGACATAGTTAACTTCCTGACAAAAAGCAGTATGCCAACGGTAATAATTAAGTTGAGCCAGGGTTTTATTGATTTTTATTTATTGATTTTTACAATGAATTGGTATCAAGAATAGCACATTTCACTGGTATTCCTAGCAATAAACACATTTCTGGTATTGTGACATACCAGATTTGGAGGATCCCTTTTAGGAGGAGCAGAGGCAACAGTCTCTTGTATCCCCCTCACAGTGCTTATGGTGGTGCTGATGATATAGACATAGGGAACAGCTTGCATTGCTCACCCATCACCCAGATATAAAGCCAAGACAACTCATTCCTACAGTCAAAACTAACAGGATGTTAGCATTACTGTATGCAATGCTTTGATCACACTTCTGTCAATTTAACTTGTAACTACTCTGGTCTTGAAAGAACGTTACGCATCGAGCTGATGTCCACAATCACGTTTATTTTCTTCTTTGTACAATCATGAAACACCATGAAAACGTCTTCGCCTCGTAGACCAGCAGTAGAATTACATTATACATCGTTTACACTTTTAGCGCCCTTTACTCTCTCACCAACACAAAGTAAACATCCGGGCTAGAGGTCACTTGACTTCCGGAAAGAAAACTCTTATCATTTTTAACAAAGTTCAATCATACATTAGGCACTCTTCAAAAAATACAAAACAATAAACAAGGGCACTTTGAGCGTCAGCTACATAACTGTGTTCAGTAAACATGAACAATTTGTCTGTCTGTGGCCTTGTCCAGGTGGTGGTGTTGTGGGTAGGAACCAATAACCACCAACACACAGCAGAGCAAGTTGCAGGAGGAGTTCATGCTATTGCGCAACTGCTCACCTCCCGCCTACCCAAGGCGAAGATAGTTGTTCTGGTAAGTACTCTAATTTGTTTTTAACAGGCACGTTTAAACTTGCTATTTAGTTTCCTTTGTGGTCTTCTCTCTGCACTTATCACATTGAGAAAACATTACATTTCCAATTTAACTTTGATTCAATATTTTGTAAAGATTTAGCATTGTTATTAAAATCGACACAAACGATTGGTCCTTTTATGATGAACATTGCATGATAAAGAAAAACAATAACATAACTAGATTCCCTCACAAGTTGCCATCTTAAAAATGCAGGAATGAAAAAGAAGCTGAATTGGTTTCCATAATGAACAAATATATAATATGATACAATTAGTTTAAGGGGTTTGATTTCAATATTTTCGGTAAATTGCAGTTTGGAATACTGTTGATGCTCTGCTAAAAGGCTAGTGTGCAATAATGAAGGATACTTGGAGTAGTAGTACAAATGAACATACAAGGATCCTCAATTTTTTTGTGTTGGTTTATAATGTGGAAGGCTATCCTTGCCCTTGGGTATCAAATGCTATCTTACCCCTCTTTTTTATATAAACAAACAACTGAAATAAAAACATATATATATCAAGGTTTGACTCACACATGGACTTGAATAAATGGGTTAAAAATATTTGTCTTGACTCAGGGTCTGTTGCCTCGAGGGGAGCGACCCAACCCCCTGAGGGAGAAAAACGCGGCGGTTAACGAGATTCTGTGCGACTCGCTGCCGCGGCTGGGCCGGGCTCAGCTCCTGGACGTGAGCCGGGAGTTTGTTCACTCTGACGGCGCCATCAGCCCGCAGGACATGTTTGACTTCCTCCACCTGACGCCCACAGGCTACCGCAAGCTGTCCAAGCCTCTCAGTGACCTGCTGCTGCAGATCCTGGAAGAGAAGCCAGGGGAGCGGCGGGCCCCCCTGGTTTGAGGGGCCCCGGCCCAGCACCACATTTATCTAGTGGTATGTCTCACCCGCTGCTCTGGGAGACGGGGGAGACATGTCCCTGGTATCTGGAGGAGGAAGGGCTCACTCATAGGGTGGGGGGGAGGCACACCGATGTGAGTGGGCCCTGAAGGGGTGTGGGATCACATACATGAGGGATGGGTGTGGAGAGGGAGAGAGACCTCACTACAGACGTACACACTGTGAATGCAAAAGGTTTACCAATGTCAGCCTACTATGAATTATAGACGGATATACCGAGCTCACGCAGGACTGCAGTGGAACACACACATTAATTAGTCAATAAAAGTGTGTTTCCATCTGGGATATGATGCAAAACAGAAAAACGATGACATTTCTTCTTCTGTGATTCGACTGCAAAACAGTTAGCTGTGTGAACTTTATGTTAATACATAAGAAGTGCACTGCTCCACACATACAGAACGAGAACGTTAAAAAACATTGAACAATGTTATGAGTCTGACCTGTGTGATGCAGAGCAGTGGTTCCCAACCCGAGGGTCAAGGCCCCCTAAGGTGGCACCACAAATGTTAAAGGTCAAAAGATAGTTAAGAGTTAAGATGGGAAAATACACTTACCTTTTCAGCCAAATTGAAACAATCTGAGAAGTAAAGTAACCTTTTAAGGTCGCCTGGTCCAAGGGTCGGGAATCACTGTCTTTATACAATTAGGTATCGCACTATTTAAAAAAAATCTCACTATTAGATGATTTTGCTTTAATAATCCAGTTTAGCAAAAGTCATACAAATTACACACATTTACTTTGATATCGTTTTGTCTGTCCAGCTCTTCATGTTTATTACTTCATTTACTCAGCAAGACAAGAGCACTCTAAATGTTTACTTTTGAATTAAGTCAATACTTGGAAGTCATTTTTAACCTATCAATATCAGATATATCCGTGTATATCCGGGGAGATAACTGCTTCCCAACAAACCACACATTCACCACGCTTCTGTCTTAAGTGATTGAACATCAAGTGAAAATCATGTCGTCCTATTTACTCATTTATGATGATCCCTGATCACTAACACAAACACCTTTGTGTAAAACGTGTGATTACATTTTACTTGTACATTTTACAGATACATCTACTGTGACATTTGATGTCTTAAAACTAGCGTTTCAAACGTTTTGTGTTGCCAAAACCGAGACCTGCCGGCTTTTTTAAATTGTGATCGTACTGTTTCATAAGCTTTGCAGTGCAACCGAGCACTTGATTTTATTTTTATTTTTCAAAATGAAGTAAAATAAATGGGGATTCTCGCTTCAGCTCCAGTCCTCGTGTTATTCCATATGAAAATACAGATGGATTTGGAAAATCTTCTCTGTCTGTATCTCACACTAATGTTAAAACACTAGCAGCCTAACACTTTGACAAGCACATGCTCTCTCTCCTTCTCCCTCCTAAATACATGGATATTCAGTATTCTCTCTAAAAAGCACCTCTTTATTCTGCTTCTCGCCTCCTCGTCTCTCCCTGTTGTATTTATAGTCAACTCTCCCCCTCGGCCCTGACATCTGTAGTTACTGAATCTTTTTAGGAATAAAAAGTAGTCACATGCTTAATCTCCTGAACACGGCTATGCTGATCATTGTCGCGCGAAATGCTAAAAAGCAAATACAATTCACCTTAAAAAAAACATGACGTCTGTTAGCTTCTGCTGTAGCTGTTTCTTCATGAGTCAAATGATCCGATGTTGCTGTCTTAAGCTCTGCACGCCTGTGTGCTGTGTGATATATAAATGGTGTATGTGTGTGTGCCTTAAGTGTTCCTAGGGATGGTTGTGTACAGTATGTCTGGTACTGGATTGTGTAAGTTGGACATATGAGTGTCTTAACTGTGACCCCCGCTGTATATAAGACGTGAAGCTTGAGGAAATGATGTTTGAAGGGGGTTCAGATTGTGGGAGTCTGTGTTTGGTGCGATACAACATGTGCACTGTTTGGCTCATGTCATGTTGAGGTAAAGCATTCCAATAAAGAAAACAAGGATCTGATCATGTGTTGGGAGTTTTCTTTTCGATTTCTGCCTGTTATCAATAGCTTTGAAGAGTGGGCTACGGAAGCCCTGAGTGGTAAAAGGTGAAAAGAAAACATCTAAATAATTGGATGTGATTTTGAGACAAACAAACTGACAAGGAAAGGGGTTTTGCTCGGATGTTCTTTTTATTTTCCTTTATTTCTTTTTTTATTTAGGAAATGTATGTGGTCCCCCCCCCCCCCCACTTGCCTCTCAGGGCTTCTTTAGGGATGTTTGAATGTTTAAGAAAAACAGAAGATTCTCTATTCTCCTTGTGGTTCTGAAATAAAGGCTAGTGATCTTCAGCGCTGTGTTACACTCTCCAGCAGAGGGAACCATTTCATCAGACAACTCATTTAAGGAGACAATAATAAGCCTCACAGAGAGTTCCTTAATGCCTGATTAGATTACGTTATCCATTCATCTCTAATGTAATTATTCACAAACAGCCCTTTAGAAGCAATGTAGACTTGTGCTAACATGTAGTTATCCGTGCTGGAGTGTATATGATTATTGTTGCAAGCTGTAAAATGCGTAGTTATTAAACCATTTGTTCATGTTAAATGTTACACTCATTAATTTTAACTGAGTCAAAGCTTCTCCGGTGTAGCTAAAACATTTGGTTCATTAAGAGGCCCGTACTGTCGACTAAGTCTGAAGTTTGAGGCTCTGTTAACACACCAAGCTCAGCCCAAAACTAATCTATTCAATGCTGGATTTACTGACATATTGAAGCTGCTATTTTAACAATAAAAAAACAATCATTACATATGTCACATAATGAAATGGTAAAACGTTGAAACGCACTTTCCTGTGCCTTTTATTTAGAGAGATAATGGTATACACTTAGTCCACGGCTTGTACATTTCCAGCAACACAGTATATGTTTAGACTGCGAGAGATTCAAATCTAATGATGTACTTAATGTTCTCAATAGTCTTAAAGCCACACATGTTCTCTGTAGATACATATTTGCCCACTTGGTCTATCACCACACAGTTTGAAAATGTAAAATGATAACTTTCCAATTCCCAACAGGCATTAGAGGCTGAGACTACACCCTGATCAAATCTATATCTGGCTCCGTTTGTCGTTCCTGCTTTATCGACCTGTTTGAGATTTGGCTGGACTTCAGTATTAACAAGCCGGGCAATGTTGGTGTGTCTGTAACACGACATCTCAAGGGCCTGAATGAACTGAGAAGGCAAGAAGGGAAACATTACATTCTGATTAGATATATATATATACGTTCTCACCTACCAGGGGGCTACTTTAATGAATAACCTGTGGGATCAGGGTGTGCAATATACTGGCAAAAGTGATACATGGACGAAAATGCATTTGAGACCTACAGTATAGTATGAAAACGATATAAAACAGCCCCGGTATAACATAAGTTATGTATTATTCGCGGAATTTCAAAAGCTATTTGCAATGCAAGTGTACTGTGGAATTAGTTATTTTTAAATTGAAGATGTCTAATCTAATTAATTTACTTGAAAACAAGAAGCTCTACAGTTTAAATGAGTCAAATTGTTCTCATGGGTTTCAGTGTCTTTGAAGCCCATGCAATTTTATTTCTCTCAGATGTCCTCATTTCATAAATAATAACCAATATAAGTGCAGACTTGTGCCAAGGCCCATGTGATGTAACCCTTGTGATGCAGTAATTATTTGTTAAAATAAAATAAGCCCATCACAAATTTTAATTGCACAATCAGATCATATCATTTAAGAGGAAATTAAATACAGAAGTTGTTGTCGTCATGAAAACAAGTTTGAAAATGTGTAATGGATGGTGGGATTGATATTGGGCTTACCTGAGGTAGTAACCAGTACCAGCCAGGTGAGGGCTCTCATTAGCGTACTGTAGTAAGTGTAATGCCGTAGTGCGGAGGTTGAGGAGTATTGGTATTTGATATCTTTAGTCATTTCATTTTGAGTTTTAAATATACAGCCTGTGACTAAGTAATTTTTAAAAGATGATATAAACAATGAGAATGCAATCACACTCTCATGCACACATCCCCCCCTATATTCAGAGTATAGAGTATATTTATTTGTACGTGTTCATGACCAAAGCATGTTCCTATGTCAACAGAAAGGACGTTATCTGGCACATGATTTTACATGACTGCGCCTCTTGGGATTCATAAACAGACTAAAGGATCTCCAATGCAAATGTCACCTGAATTAAACTGCATTCAAAGGCTGTACAGTCCAGAAAATAACCAATCTGGCTCATTGTTGGCCCTGCTTTTTTACCCGCAGAGAGGTTTGTGTAAGAGTGTCTTTACCTCACTCGCACAGTGCTGAAGGATTCCAGAGGGCCTTACTACTCCTTGACTAGGTCATCAAAATTCATGAATACTCATTGATTTCTGCACTGCACTTCACAGTATTGTGTTTGTCCCAAAGCTAATTCAGCAGGTCAGGGTCAGGCTGTCCTATTTACTTCCCCAGGGCAATATTGTCTTAACTAGCACCACTTAATGACTTCTGACATCTCCTTGCTGAGTAGAAACCAAAGCAGCCTGACATTGCTTTTGCTGTCAATTAATTTCTTATTTTTCCATGTTAAAATGTGGTTCCGCACAGAATAATCTGTAGGACAAGCTGCCCTTTGGAATTCTCTCGCTCCAATAACTGTCTTAACCTTTCTCCCTCAGCAGAATTTAAACTGCTACACATCTGGTTTTCTCACATCCCTCTTGTCCTCCCTTGTCATTTGAATGTTTAAACAAAAATGATGACTTTTTGAGAAAGTAGAACCTAAGACCTGACATCTCTTCCTTACAGTTTATACAAACAGAACATGCCTACAAAGAACATTTGAATTGAAGTACTTTCTTGTTTATGGAAAGACAGCTATTGTAAAACAAGATAAGAATTTTCTAAATTAAATAGATTTATTTTTGAGATGTGTGAATTCAAACCTAAAAACTATCAATTTAAAAGTGCAATAGGTCTTTCCTTGATAAAAGATACACAACAAATCCTCAAAATTAATCAAAGTAAATTCATGCTATCTAGAACTGCACATAAAAGCGTTTTCTGATTTGACAGTGACACCATGATATGCCATTTGACTTTGTCCTTATGTGGCCCTTGCTGAAATGACTGGATTTGCATGGGAGGACGGTCTCAGAGGTTGTGTTGCGGGTCAAGCCAGAATGAAAGCTGCCCGGGCGACAACTTTTTCCATCACATCACTCTGAAGCCTTGATCAGTGTCCTACTTTAGTGACTTCATCTGAAGCATTAGTTCTAGCCTGATAATCAGACTGAAAGGCCATTTACTTTAATTCATTCAAACTAGTTTAAATGTTTACCTTAAACTGTACCCCATTACTTGGTATGGTGGTTTAAGAGTGACACATTAGGGACCTATTATGTGCTTGTTATTGTACAAACGTGACTAGAATTGCTGTAAACATCTGGTTAACCTTGTGTTCTTCCTATTGAGACACAGCTGAAAGCTATTTTTGACCTTCAATGACCTTTGTGTTACGACGTAATGAGGCCATTGTATGTTGAATATAAATACATTACGTAGCCAGGTGAGGGGTGTAATACTAAACGTTAAAAAAACTACCCAGAGATAAAAGTAGAACATATACGAGAAAGAAACTTGGGATAAAGATTAACATTAAGGTAGTCATTATAAAATAAATTTAAAAAACACACAATGTATAACATTTACCAAATGTACAGGAAAAAGATAAATGTTTTGTTTGTTATGTTGCAAAGGAACTAACCGTAACCCTAACCCACATTGCTTTACACAAGTTTGGATCAACCTCAATACACCACAGACTTTAAACTCTAAATCTTACCGCCCTCATCCAGCTTTGCTATTTATTTTACCTACAATGTCCCTAATACTCTGTTGTACTTCCTTTGTGTTAATTCATTCAGCTGTCTACTGGAGCCCCTCTCCTTTGTCTTGTTTAAAGCCTAGTGTTAGGAGTATGTGTTACATCAGCTCCCCCATTCACATTTTCTCCGACAGTCTAAGGATCAGACGGGCATCTCTCCAGTCACAAAGCCATTTCTTTAACCTCATGTCTAATCGTCGCCCCTGTTATGCCCCTGTATGGCAGCAAAGTGCATTCCTCTGCTGTGAGGCCGGCGGTGTGTTAGTGTTTCCACACTTTTATTAAAACCCTGATGGAATGTGAAAAAATAGCTCCTGTGTCAAAAAGGCCGGGCGCCAGTTAAAAAAAAAAAAACTAGCTGTAGGAATGTTTAATTCATTGTAACTGTGAGATAAAGATACTACATGGAGGCAGTGAGTGATGTGTTTGCTTGAGCTTGTCTGAAAAATATCTGAAGAACATTATGTTCTACATTTCTTCAGGTAAAAAGTGAATTATGAGTCCATCATATGAATGTATCAGTTTTACCTGAACATATTTGAGGTGAGGCAGTTTTACACAACCACAGTGCTTTACCTTGCTCAAAGTGTTACATTATCTCATGGCTGGATAGCTCATGATTTATTACTCTTTAACAAATCTTTCACTTATCATGATTCACTTGTTTCATAAATGTGTTATTAACTTCGCTACAGTGTAACTAACAATAGCTGATAAGATTGTATTGTGAGGGAGTGGATTATATGCTAAAGGTTGTTAGCTCAGTAAGTCAATAAAGGACGACTAGGTATAGCATTGTTTCTGATTAAATGAATGGAAGATCCTGCTTCTCCTATGATTGCAAAGTTCCTAATGGCAATTAAACAGTGATAAAAAACTAAAATATAACAAATAAAAGGTTGAAAATGTCCGTTTAAAACCATTTTATCCACATACAGTAGAATCACCAGACCTACGCAGTGTGTTTGCTGCAGACAGAGAAACAGTAGAGAGTGTAGAAGGGTCTTTTAGGGACAAAAAGCTGGCACGATATTTGATTGGACCTCTGAGATAAATGTGTGTATAGCATTGTGAGACTCAAAGTGCTCACTTATGCTCAG